CTGGCAGTCTTGTTGGGGAGTGCACATGCCAGCTTACAGTAAAATGGACAAACTGACTGTAAAATGGACAAATTCAAAAAAATCAGTAAAGTTCAACAGACAGTAGACAGTTAGTCGTACTTCACTATAGTTCCATTCCATTTCATGATTCATTTCTATCAGCCTAGGGAGTCTTTCATAACCCAAGTACCCTACATAGCTGGCAATCTTGTTGGGGAGCGCATATGTGAGCTTACAGCAAAGAGTGATTTCTTCCCATTCCCCCACGACTTTGTCCTTGGTTTTAGGTGACTGTTGTTTTTCAATCACCATGCCATCCAGTTTCAAATCGGACACGATCTAACTTGATTGAACTCAACTGAACTACATGTATATGAACTCAATCAAACCCAATCAATAGTAAAAAAAAATTGTCATTTTATTTTCTTAAACTTATGCTACAAGTTTTAAGGTTTGCAGTAGCTTTTTCTCCCTGTCAAATTTAACTTGTGGGAAAGTTTTTCCCACAAGCTTTGGTACATGTTTGTTAGTTAGGGGCCCTGCTTCAGTAGTCATCAGACCCTCTCTAGAGTTTCAGAACTTGTACCATGCCTGATGATAAGTGAATGAAACCTCAGACAAGTGCTAATTGAGGACACCCACCATTATTGTGAAGTAATGTATCAGACACAAGAGACAGTGTTTCATCGGGACATCCAAACAGGGAGAAGAGGGTTGAAAATACAACCCGCAGTGGAGTATTATTTTTTGATGAAATACTAGGTGTTTGGATAGCTGATGAAACAGTCTCAAGTGTTTGATATATCTTCTCAATTGAAACAAAAACTAAGGAGTAAACGAAGAATTAAAATCGTCAAAATCTATGTTAATTAAGACCGGGTATCCAAACCTCCTTCACGTTCATGATTTTCTTTGTTTTAACTTGATGAATTAGTGAATGTGACACTACAACAGGAGAAAGAATAAATGAGGTATTGATCAGTTTTTGTTTCTTTTCTCAGTTCATATAATTTGGCTGATGCTGATCCAACTTTAACTCACATGAGCATCACAAAGCTTTATCAGGAAAGACTGGTGAGTACTCTCCCTTGATTATGTACATTTGTGTAGTTAGAAGGTTTTCTCCAATCTACCTTGATTACTTTACCGTGTGTAAACATATTGTCTGCTGTATCTAATTGCGTGGTGCTTTGAACAGGCAAGTGGAACCCACAGATAAGTTGTCTTCTTTAATGTTCCTCTGCTATATTTTTCTTACACTAGTTTTCACAGGCGTTTTCACTAAATAAACTATTAAGCAAAAACGTCATCTCCTTGGAAGATGGTGCTTTAAAAAAGCATCTCCAGGATTCCTTTATAAAAGAGGCTAATGTACGGCAGTTTTTAATCGTCTTAAGATAAGTTTTTGTTTTTGTTTATTTTTTTTGTTTGTTTCTTTCATTATCATTGTCAGGTCAAGCATGTTGTGTCACAGAATTGTGATGGACTTCATGTCAGAAGTGGTCTTCCACCAGAGGCATTGTCAGAGGTCCATGGGAACATGTTTGTTGAGGTGCAGCAGTAGTAGCCAATGCTTATGATACTGCAAATAACTCCAGTACTAATAGCAACAAGTTACAACAAAGTGTAGATACTTACTTATTAAATAAATGTTAATATCAGAAATAATAGTAACCTGGAATAACCACCTTAAGTATACATTCTACACAAGTGAAGAGTGCTTTTCACACATTCTGATTGGTTATTTCAGAGGTGATTAACAAAGTACTATTCACCTTCAAGCTGGGATTTTTTAATTTCCCACCATTTGTCAGTTTCTTTTTTTGTCCACTAGTATATCCTAAAAGCAAATTTATTCACCTCAGTGTTTGTAAAAGTGGTGTGGATATTTACCTCGCCACTTCATGGCTTCATTAAATATCCACCACTATTCACTTCCACTTCTGTGTTTAATCAAAACTATAACAAAATTCTCGAACATGATTGGCTATCAGCAACCTGATTTATAATGGTAATAGGACTGAGTGGAGTCCAGTTCGGTCTGTAATCATAGGAGTGATTAACAAAATCGGACGACTGCAAAGCAGGAGTCCGATTTGTTAACCACGAGTATGATTACAGACTGAATTGGACGACATGATGTCCACAATTTTACAAAGTCAGTCTCTTGAATTGGTTGCTATAGTGATTGTAATCAATGTTGTGATTGGTGGATTTAGTGGAGAGGACTTAAAATGATTGGCTCATATAACTGTCTGATTTCAGGTGTCCGATTACAGCCAACTGTCCGATTACACTGTCCGATTACAACTTTGCAGATTAATTAGAGCAAAATACAGCAGTTTATGCACCAATCACATTTGAGGAAATTGTAATTGTTTTGATTAGAGCATTAATTGGACAGTGTACGTGTCATACTTGTAATTGGACAGTACGCATCATTTTGCGCACGCTGTTGTGGTGTACTTTGTTGAGTAAACTGCTGCGTTTTTCAGTAACGATGTTTAATCGTTCAGCGCCTAATTGATGGTTTGTTCATTTCTCGAATTTTGCAATAGTTTTGATTAATTGGTAACAGGGCTTCGCATCGTCCAATTCAGTTTGTAATCATACTCGTGATTAACAAATCGGACTCCTGCTCTGGGTCAGCCAATTTTGTTAATCACTCAAAACATATGATTACAGACCGAATTGGACTCCACTTTGTCCTATTACCATTATTAATTGTTAATTATTAAAAACTGGATCATTGGATAATGTAATTTTAATTAATAGCTTTCATTTGGTTTAGCCATCATGGTATATGAGCAATTACACCATTACTCTACAAATATGGAAAGCATACCTGTAGTTCTTTGGGGTCGTGAAGCAATGAGGGCAATTAGAAAAACTTTGAAATTAATCCTTAATTGCCCGAGGGCACTTGCGATTACTTGTTTATCACCTAAAGGGTAAAATTCTGTACAAATGAAAACTTTCAAGATCTTGCCATTGCGTAAACAGGCTCGCCAGTTGTTATTAAAGAACAGGCTGGCAGTAGAACGGGAAAAGCCTACTATAATAGTAAGCAAAACACAGCAAGTTCAATTCACTCAAAGCAATTTCTTAACAAATAAAACTTAAGCAATCTAATTTTATTCACCTGTTTTGCGAAGCTTGCAACGGTGTGAAACTATTTCATCAGTCGATGAAAGACGTAAACAAGTAAGTGTCCAAACAAGCTCTAATAACTTCTTGAATCCAAAACTCTCCTTTCCACCACGAAAACTTAACATACCAACAAAATTTACGCTCTTTTTTGTGCTGATAAGGTGACCCGTGACACTAATAAGGCAACCCAAAGCAAAACGAAGAAATTAACTTTCAGTTTGGCAGCCATGAAGTTCTGTAACTCTATGCTTCGTGCAAAATGAGCCATACCAACTCAAAGTTTTTTCATGCAGGCTGTGAATCAATACGTTTTTGGATGGAAAAATCCTTTGCTTTTCCACCAAAAGACTGCACTTTGCTGCATGTCGATTTTCTTTCATGTTAAGATGAAATAACCATGTTTAGGTCAAACTCAGACTGAAGCGATATGTTCTGAAATTCCTTTCCAAAATCTGTTTGAAGCGGGAAACAAGGGTCCCCAATAGGTTTGGCGGGATGCGGGATTTGGCTTTTTTTCGCCGTGATATTTGGGATTTGAGCTGAAAACAGGGGCGGGAAGCGGGAATTACAATTACAAGCGGGAGCAGGATTTTGTGTTTTCATAGGGCTGGGATGCGGGTTTCGTGAGAGGAACAGAGTAGGATTTACGTGAACTCATAAATTTTTATTGACCAGTGCAAAAACCACAAGCTGGCAGAAACGAACCTTTTGTGTGTATAGCTGTGTTAGGTTTCAAGTAATGAATAGCAATGGCTCTGTGCCCTGTCAGGTTCTGTCAAACGTATCCATTATCACTTGACTACGTTAGCATCATGAGACTGTATGAGGTCTTTGAGTCCTACTCCTACTGATTTGGATCATTTGTGTTGACCCCTGACATCAATGACATCTGTCCATTTCCAACATTTTCAACGCTTGCTGCTGTAATCTTGTTCCCCCCCGATCTATCCTATTCTTTCTAGTCTTAGTTTCGACCTTTCCAAAGCGCTTGTCTTGTTTTGGCTAGGATGGCCACACCAGATGACGGTGATAGTGATTTACCGTACAAAGTATGCGACATTACAAATTGCACGCCATATAAACGAAAAGGATGTGCGAGAAGGAATGCCTTCATTCGGAAAGAAAAGTTCTGAGCCCAGATTTCAAGGAAAGTAAAGACGCTGAAAGCTTTGAAAGAAACTGTCAAGTGTATTTACGGACAATTTCTTAAATATGGGAATGAAAAATCTTTTTCTTTCACTGATACGTGGACAAAAAAAAACAAAACAGTATAAACTGTTTACGGAAAGAAACGTTTTAAACATTTGTGCTTACTTATCTGCTAGCCATTGAATTCTTTTGTGATCTTTTAGACGATATCTATTTTGAAAAATATTCTGTGTTAATAATTAAATTAATTATTAATTTAACAAATAAATAATTAACACAGAAATGTCTTTGAAAAGTGGGCGGGATCGGGATTTCCAGGCAAAAAAGGGCGGGATGGTGGGATTAACAGAAAAAATTGGGCAGGAAAGCAGGATCCGAGAACCTTATTGTGGACCCTCAGAAACTAACTTAATGTAGGCATGCTCAGGCAATCGGCATCAAGTAATTATGCCCTCTTGATTACCAAAAGTGCCCTCGTGATTAAGAAAAAATGCCCTCTCTCTCAGCAAATCAGCTTTCAGTAATTTGGCCCCATATGTGATAATTATTAAAACAATTATTATTCCACTTGCATTTGTTTGTCTATGAGATGATTATAGCCAACTCACTCAAGCAGTCAGCCAATGGTTTGTTTCAAATACTTCTGATGTTAAAACAAATAAGTTTCAGGTGCTGATGTCTCCACAATTTTGTACATGTAGGTCTGCACAGAGTGCGAAGAAAATGACAAGATCTACTATCGCCTGTTTGATGTAACGGAAAACACAAGACTGAGAAGACATCAAACAAATCGTTATTGCCACGAATGCAGTTCACAGTTAAGAGATACCATAGTTCATTTTGGTGAAAAGGGTAACCTGAGATGGCCATTAAACTGGGAGGGAGCTTTGGAGACAGCAAAAATTGCAGATTGTATTCTTTGTTTAGGATCAAGCTTAAAGGTGGTGTACACTGTTTTGATTAAATAATGTGTCTTAAGCTGCTTATATGAAGATTTATTTTTCTGGCATTTTTCATGATGTGGAATTCACTAGCATCAGTGATTTCAAGACACAACTTTGTATGGAATTTCTTTATTGTTTTTCGGAGTAAAGAGAAACCTTGGCTTTTTAATAAAGTACTTTAGTTTTTGTAACTGTACTTTATGCGAAATCATAGTTATCAATTTATTTCTGCTATAATGTTGACTCCTTTTCCTTGAAGGTGTTGAAGAGATATCATGCTTTATGGGGGATGAATAGAGTGAAGACCAGAAGACCCAACTTGTATATTGTTAACCTTCAGGTGAAGATGCTTGTTACCTCTAGCCATTTCATTTTGTGTCCTTCCTGCCTTGTGTAACCTTGTTTATTCAGGACATTAGAAATATGGAATCGTCTGTCACTAGGACACCCATTCACTTGCTATGATAATGGTACAGCTGTAGCTAGTTTAATAGCTGGGCAGTACAATCCTCTTGCCTT